GAATGAGATTTGATAGGTTTCGGTATCGGATGTGAAAGTTAGAAATTTCAAAGTTCATAAAGATGAATTATGGCGCGATTCGTGATTTTCGACGTTGTTTGATGTGATTTGAAGCCTCGACTAAGTCCGTGATATGTTTCCAGACTTGTTGGCACGTTCGGACGGGGTCCCGAGGGGCTCGGATGAGTTTCGGGGTGGTTTCGGACCATTTCTAGGCCATTTATAACTGCTGGTTTTTGGCTACCTCAGTGTTCTATGCGATCGCGGGGAATTGGTCACGATCGCGGTGAGTAAAATGTGAGAAACGGGCCAGTGAATCGCGATCGCGGAAAGCGTTTCGCGATAGCGTAGAGTAAATATTCTGCTGCACTGACTCGACTTCGGAGGCTCATATCTCACAATCTATAAGGAATTGTGAGATGATGTGAAAATAAAAGTTGTAACCCTTTGTGTCTAGTTTCTAGAAAAGTAAACCGTTCATGATTTGTATTTGTGTACAAAGAGATATGGCTGTTACACTACAGGGTGTCCGGGAAGATGAAGAAGAAAGTTGTGTTACACATGGGCTGGCTTTGACCGATTATATCTAGAAATCTATAAGGAATTGGGAAATGACCAACACATGAAAGTTGTATATCTTTGAGTCTAGTTTTCAGAACATTTAACCATTTGTCATTTGGAGTTGTGTACAAAGAGTTATGACTATTCTACTAGAGGCTGTCTGGAAGGCTGGGAAATTGTTCTCCGCGATCGCGAAGCTCTTCCCGCGATAGCGAATACTCTCCGCGATCGCGAAGCATTTTCCGCGATCGCGATGAGTAAATACCTGGGCAGAATGGTATTTTCACGGGTTTAGCTCATTTTTCTTCATTTCTTCAAAGCATGGACAATTTTTGGAGAGCTTCAAGAAGGGATTTCGTCATCTATGTTAAGGTAAGTTACTCCTACTCATTTTCAAGTTAAATACAAGATTATATCATGGAATTAGACATGAAAATTGTGGGAAAATTGGGATTTTTGAAGAAAACCTAGAAACTTGATAAATTGGATTTTACCACGAATTTGAGCATGGAATTAGGAGTAAATTATATATTTGAGCTAGTGAAGCTATGGGTAGAGTATATCTTCGAGAAATTTCAGAATCCGGGCACGTGGGCCCGAGGGAATTTTGGTCATTTCACTAAGCGGAGTTGGGAATTTGTATAATTTGAATTGTTAACAAGTATTTGAGTATATTCTCATTAGTTTGCCGTTATTTGGCTAGTTTCGGAGCATTTTGCAACGATTCGAATCGTCGGGAAGGCTTGGAGGCCGTTTATGGAATTTCGGAGTGAGGTGAGTCTCCTTTCTAAGCTTGTAAGAGGGAATTGTCCCCATAGGTGAGTTAATTGGTTATGTGCTCCTAATTGTGGGGGGCTACGTACGCACGAGGTGACGAGAGTCCGTGCGTAGCTATTATTATGCTATTGTCCGGGTACTCTAGGACCCAGAAGCATGCTATACTCGGATTAATCGTAAACTTACTGACAACTTGAATTGCTTAAATCACATTGAATTAGTAAATGAATTTCTAAAAGGATTAAACTCCATTTTTATTAAATTGTTAAAGGAGAATTGGCTTTTAATTGGGATAAATGTTCCCGGATAAATTCCTAATTGGCTATTTGCGCATGGGTTTTGATGTGTACCTGCGTCGCATGTATGATTCACGAGCAGGGTATGTGTTTAAATTTTGGAGCGGGCCGAACGCCTCGGCAGATTAAATAGATGCATCTATGGTTGGCGCCGTTCGACCCTTGGCAGTGCACAGTTTACATTTCTGTTGGAGCGAGCTGTCGACCTCGGCATGATATGCGCATGTTTGCATTGCTTACTTGAAACTTATTAAAGTTGATATTGCCTTCTTGGCCGCTACCCACTAATAAAGATAATGAAAAGTAAATCTTGAAAATTCTTTGTTAATTGTTCAAGGTGTTTACCTGTTTTACAGCTTCGTGAGTTAGAACCTGCTATATAAATCCATGATTTCCTCACATTTTAGTATATTATTATTTGACCACTAGCAAGTGTTAAAGTCGACCTCTCGTCTCTACTTCTTCGAGATTAGACGGGATACTTGCTGAGTACACGTTGTTTTCGTACTCATACTACACTTGCTGTGCATTTTTGTTGCACAGGTTTATTGTGTGGCTAGTGGCTTAGTGGCATAGCAGCATGGTTGACACAGAGACTAGGTGAGCTGTATTTCTCCGAGGCGATTCCGCAGCTAGTATAGTCTCTTTCAGGATTCTATTTACTTTCTGTCCAATTGTATTCCGGACAGTTATTGTACTTATTTGGTTTATCTTAGAAATTGCTCATGTACTTGTGACACCGGGTTCTGGGATGTATTTGGGTTTAAATTTAGAAATTTTAGAGTTGCTAAATATTTCATTATTAATTCTGAAGAATATACTGATGTGTTGTTTTAAATCGTATAAAAGACGTGTTTTCAAAATTATTAAAACAAGAACTTGATTAAGTATTTCAGTTGGCTTGCCTGACAGCGGTGTCCGGCGCCACCACGACCCTTAGTGGATTTTGAGTCGTGACAAGCTGAGTCACGAGTGACCGAGAGGCTGTATTTATGAGTGATACCTTGCCCGAGGGGCCCATATATGACATTGTTGGTGATTTCACTCTTCTTTTATAATGAGCCTCTGTTGAAAACTGCTAAGTAAATGATTTCAAAGTACTTCAACTGAAACTGAAGTTTTTTACGAAGTGCTGACTTTTAAACTGTTGAGTTTGATTTGATATTCTGTTGTATGCTCTTTTACTTGATTTTGCTTAGCTGCTCGTCACTGCACTAAGATCTTATTTACTTTAGTTACTTACTCCCTGCACCTTGTGTGCAGATTCAGGTGCCCGAGCAGCAGAGTGAGGGTTCCCAGCATTTTCGGAGCTTATCGGAGACTGCAAGGTAGCTGCACGGCATCCGCAGCCCTGCTCTCCTCTTTCCTATCCTTGTTTTCCGCATTTTTAGACTTATCATGTATTAGACAGTCGGACTGGTTGTATTGCGGCTCTAGACTTGTGACACCAGATGGCTGGGCTGTGTTTGGTTTGTTGTTATACTGTCTTTCCGCACATTTCAGTGATTTAAATATTTCTCATGCAAATTGGAGCTTAATCAGTATTAGAAAAATGGTTTACTAAAAGGAATTTACTATGGTTAATTGTTTGGGTTGGGTTGCCTAGTATTGTGATAGGCGCCATCACGACCGGGGTATTTGGGGTCGTGACAAAAGAAAAAGAGAAAAAATATGTAAATAAATAATTTCAGCGTAGAAATATATAGAGGGATAATACTTATTTGATTCTTGAAAAGAGAAAATCTTTTAATAATGAGAAAATTTATACTATATGGATAAGATACACGTATTTGAGAATCCATATTTATATATAGATAAAACTAAAACCAAAATCATAGACAATTGATATAATTCAAGAAATAAATTAGAAATATAAAAATATAATTTAAATTCTTATGTAAATAATTTTTAAAAAAATTAAAAGTCAAACTTCATTACAAATAAAAGCATTGTATAAAATCTTATAGTAAGAGAAATAATATAGAAAGAGGGGATAGAGATATTGTGAGAAAATATACTTTAAATTAATTTAACACATAAATTTATATATTTTATTCAATTAATATTTCAGGTTTGAGAATCAAGATGTGTGATATATATAGTTTGCATTCGAGCAGTTTTAAGTGATTCTCAAAAAGACAATGGTCATGGGCATGCAGTTTGGTTCAATCAATTTTAATGCAACTCCGATAATATTAGAAGGAATTAAATTAACCATAAATGTACATAACAAGAGGAGGAACTGATGGCAAGCTATACATCAATTTATTTTGTGAGGATAATAATTTTAAGTATGAAGCTACTCAGGCATCAGCTGAATTAAATATCAATTGCGTTACCTTACGGTGAAATTAATTATCCAAAATTTTATAGTTTGTCTTAAATCTCAGTTGTTTGAAAGCAATATGTATACTTGTTAGTCTTTTTTAATCGATGCTAGCAGTTGCTATGCTAAATTAGATAGGAATTGGGAGTATGGATTCTTTTTTGATAGCTCAGGTATGGACTGTGACTTTTTAGTCAGTTGTTGATATTTATGCTCTCACAAAATACTTTAACCAATTGATTGAGCAACTGTTGAGGTCAGTATATACGTGTAAATTAGAATGGAATAGATTTGAACAGAGTGAACATATAGAGGGATATTATTGTGTTATTTGGAATTGCTATTTACACATAATAAAGCGAATTACAAAAAGCAGATGTAAATTAATTTAATTAATAAGTATTACCAACCAAGCTGTAAGAACTTATCTTCTTTTAAGACATATGCATGGTAGAAGAGAAATATTAAAAGTAGATTAAAAATTAACTTATTTGAAAAAAATCTTGATTCTTACGAAATGAATTGCTAAATAAAATTAAAATCCATAAAGTTGAAATGTTTAATATTCTTGCTTACAAATAGTGATCTCAATAGCCCACTATGTTCTAAAATTATCATTTAAATTGTTAAAAGCAACTAGGCTTTAATTGTGTGATTAAAATTAAAGTGGCATCAAAATCGTTGAGTAAATTCTAATCCAGTTATTCCATAGGTTGATAATTCCCTAAAGTGATGATATGTTGGTGTCAATAAATCATCAAGTATGTGCATATTAGTATGTCTTTTACCATTAAAGATGTAAGCTAATGTTGTAAGAGTTACTTCTGTTGAGATAATAATAAAATATTGCTAAAAATATTTTTATTAATTATTATTTCAATAGTATTATTAATTTTTGAATCAATATTATATTTTTTTTTGGTAATTAAAATTTTTATTAATCACCAAAGGTCATGCTTTACAATGCCATAGTCCAGCTTATACTCAGCTGACTATCAAATCTCATCTAAAATACTAGCTAACCATAACTATGTTAACTACTAGTCTACTATATCAAGAATTGCTGCATTTGCTTTAGTTCTAGGGTTTCCTCTAACATTACATATGTAAGCTAGCTCTCTTGCTAAGACTTCACTGTTGCGATATTTGTTCTCAAATATACGAGCATTCCTTTCCATCCATAGTGCATATGAAACTTCAGTGATCACCATCTTGAAAATACTGGCTCTGCTTGATTTTCCTTTAGCTTTGCTAATGATCCATTGAAGCCTTTGGTCCCAGGTATGATTCTTTGGCTGTTCCTCTTGAATCCATTGCATTACTTGCTTCCACAAGTCTTCTGAAAATGAGCATGACAGGAATAAATGTTCTTTTGTCTCTTTATGTCCTTGGCACAAAACACACTGTTGGTTTATGTTCATTCCCCATTTAGCCAGTCTATCCTTGGTTGGCAATCTTCCTTGTAGCATTAACCATAGATTGAACACTGCTTTTGGTCGAGCATAGTTTTGCATGATTAGGTTCTTCCAACTTACTCTTGGTAGATCTCCTAGTAGTTGTAGGTATATTTGTCTGATGGAGCCCTTGTGAACACTTGAGCGTTGGAGTTGTTGCAGAATATCTCTTGAGGCAATTATTCTCCTAACCATCCAACTAGCCTGTTTAGGAATTGGCATATCCTCTAGTTGATAATGTTTTATATAGAAAGCATTAATCCACCTGATCCACAGCTTATCCTCTTTATGAGCTAGATCCCAGCATACCTTTGCAATTGCTGCCTTATTCCATAGCAGAAAATTGATGAGGTTCATTCCACCAGCAGATTTAGGAGTACACATCCTATCCCATGAAACATAAGCTTTTTTAGTAATAGTGTTGGATCCAGACCATATAAAGCTTCTACAAATTGCTTCAATTATCTTTAGCACTTTGACTGGTATGATGAACAATTGAGCCCAATAAGCTTGAATGCCAAATACCACTGATTGAACTAATTGCAACCTCCCAGCATAAGATAACTTCTTGGCAGTCCATGAAGTGATCTTGGCAGTAATCTTCTCCACTAAAGGTTGCCATTGAATCAAGGCAATTTTCTTGGTGGATAGAGGAATACCTAGGTATTTGAATGGTAATTCTCCATGTGCAAATCCCAGGTGATCAATAATCTGTTTCTTCATTTCCTGTTTTACTCCCCCAAAGTAAACTGAGCTTTTACCCAAATTAGCTTGTAGTCCAGAGGCTTCAGAGAATTGAGAGAAGTATTGAAACATGGCAGTAATAGATTCAAGGTCTCCTTTGGCAAACAGTAGTAGATCATCAGCAAAACTCATGTGAGTGATACCTAGCTTTTTGCATCTAGGGTGGTATTGGAATGTTGACTCTTTCCTCAATTCAGCAAGTGATCTACTGAGGTACTCCATAACTATTGCAAACAGGAAAGGGGAAATGGGATCCCCTTGCCTAAGTCCTCTAGCAGTTTCAAATGGTTCTGTAGCTTCTCCATTAATAAGCACTGAAAAACTAACTGTTTTTATACACTCCATGATCCAATTAATGAATCTGGTTGGAAATCCAATCCCCTCCATCACCTATTGTAGAAAGATCCATTCAACTGAGTCATATGCTTTCTGGAAGTCAATTTTAATCATATATCTGGGGGACACATGAGCTCTAGTGTAGTTTTTGACTAACTCATGAGCAAGGATAACATTATCAGCTATTTTTCTGCCAGGAATAAAGCCTGCTTGGGCTTCACAAATGATGCTGGGCATGATTTTCTGGAGTCTGTTGGCTAGGATCTTGGATATCATTTTGTATAGAACTGAGCAACATGCAATAGGTCTATACTCTTTGACTGTGGTGGGTTTGGAGACTTTGAGGATTAAGGTAATAGTGGCACAGTTTATTGGTTTGTACATCTTGGAAGTTAGGAAGAACTCCTTGATGGCTTCTATGACCTGCCTGCTGATAGTGTTCCAAGTTTTCTTGAAAAAAACAGCATTGTAGCCATCTATTCCTGGGGCTTTATCATCTCCAATTGCTTTTAGACTCTCCACAATTTCCAGTTCAGTTACTTCTGCACAGAGATCCATTCTTTGTTGTTGTGACAACATTGGACCATTAGCCATATACATTCTGTTTATAGCAGGTAGTGATGCAGCTGTTGAGCCCATAAGTGACTTGTAAAATCCTAGAATCTCCCTTTTTATGTCTGCAGGCTCATTTACTTTAACTCCCATTCCATTTGTAAGTTCTATGATCTGTTTCCTTTGTGTTCTTTCCTTCATAACTACTGTGAAGTACTTGGTATTAGAATCTCCAAGTTGAATCCACTTTGCTCTTGCTTTCTGCTGTACCACACTTTCTTCAATCAAAGACCACCTTTCTAATTTCAATACTATCTCTTTCTCTTTCTGCAGTAACACATCAGAATATGCCCTTGCCATTTGTTCTTGAATTTCCTTCAGTTCCTGTCTGTTATGCTCTATCTTCTGAGTAATACTCTTGAACTCCTTAACATTCAAGGCCTTTAGAGGGCCTTTCAGTGCTTTGAGTTTTGCCCATATTGCTTTCATAGAACCATGGTAATTTGTAGAGTACCAGGTAGATGCCACAATCTGTTGAAATTCATCATGCTCAGTCCATGCATTAAAGAATCTAAAAGGTACCTTACCCTTCCAAGAAGATGCTGCTAGAGTCAGTATCATAGGATTATGATCAGAGATTTGTGGTTGATCATAAACTGTTTCCACATGGCTCCACTTCATCATCCATTCATAGTTGCCAAATACTCTATCCAATCTGCTACATACTCTATCTGCTCCAGGCTGCTTGTTTGTCCGGGTGTAATAGTCTTCTTTCCAAGGTAACTCTGAAAGTCCTACTTGCTGAATACAGTGGCTAAACTCTTGAGTCTCAGAATAACTAACAGGATTACATGATTGTCTATCCTTGGGATATAATATAGCATTAAAATCCCCTGCAACTAACCATGCATCTGTGATAGTTGTTGAAAAGGACTGTAGTTTTCCCCATAACGACCTTCTTTGTTCTATTCCATTGAATCCATATACAACAGTGAGGTAGCAAGTAACATCCCCCTTTATACTTCTGACTATGCAATGAATCAGTTGAGGATCATCCTGAAGACCAGTAACTTTGAGCACATTTGTATCCCATAAGATCCATACTCTCCCATTTCTAGCTTCATTGTAGTTTGTTAGAGTACCCCATCCAGGAACCAGCAGATTAGCAATTCTGTAAGCATTTGTTTCTTTAACCTTAGTTTCTACCAAACCAACTAGGTTTATTTTATTGCTCCTAATGTACTCCCTAACTTCCTTCTGTTTATACCTTTTATTTACACCTCTAATATTCCAGAACAACCACTTCATTGGTAATTACTTGGTCCACCTCTATCCCCTGGTGGCACCTCATACTTACCATTTGACACTGCTTCAAATCTATTACTTACAGGAATAGGAGACAAAGGTGGGAAGTTAATGAGGTTGAATTCTGGGCTCTGAACTTTTTTCCCTTTATCTTCCTGTTGTCCCATCTCTGGCATCAGACTTGGTAGCTCATTGGGCTCTTTCTGACCTTCATTTATCTCATTTGAGACAACCTGTTGTGGTGCTGATATTGTTGTCTCTTTTTGAGTAGGAGCAACATGTACAGGGGCCTTGGTTCTCCATTCCTGTGTTACTTTTGCCTTCTTCATTTGATCATGCTGGTTTCACTTGGGTTGTGCATCTGTGGCCAATAGTTTGACATTTCTCACAAAAGGATGGCTTCCAGTAATAGAACACATCTTGTAGGAATTTCTTCCCATTTGGATCCATCACCCATATTTCATTTGGCAATTCTTTGGTGACATTAATCTCTATAAGCATCCGAGCATATGAGACTCTAGTCTGATTGGTTGTGCATTCATCCGCAAAAATAGGCTTCCCTAGGACAGTTGCAATCCTACTTAATGATCTCATTCCCCAGCAGGACATAGGAAGCTTGGGAAATTTAACCCATAAAGGAATATCAGTAGGAAATTCCTCAGTGAAGTCAAAATCAGGAGTTCATGGTTTGAGAATTATAGGTCTGTTTGCTATAGAGTAAGGTCCAGCACAGAGAATTTCCTTAGCATCTTCCATTGTTTTGAACTTAATTATGTAATAGCCTTCATCATGATAAAATAGGTCTGGTTCTGGAACATGTGACCAGTGAAGGTTAATAAACCTCTTCATCGCATTAAACCCGGGTCCATCCCCTAAGATATAGGCAATTAAAGCACATTTCCACTTCTTCTCTTCCTCCTCTACCTCTAATTTGTTCAATTGCACTATTGGCTGTCCATCAACAATTAGAGGTGGTATATAATCTAGAGACATAACATTTGTTGCAAATCTATTTTTCTGAAACAGTTTTGACCATGTCTGCTTGGGTTCTTCAGTTCTGTTATTGATGACCCCGGAATCCTTCGTTACTGCTGCTACTGGTTGTACTTGGGCCTGCTCTGGACTCTGCATGGTTACTGTTCCATTGGTGGTTTTCTTCGTTAGATCTGGTTTTGCTCCAATCTGAGCTGGGGAGATCAGATCCAGCTCCTTTGAGACTGTAGATTGGTACGATGTCGATCCAATTGAGCCTATATCACCTGCAACTGATGAATCTGAGCTTTGCACTGTTGGTGGAGTGGTTACTATTTTCTCCAATTAATTGGTTGCTTGATTGTTGTTATAAGGTTCTCAATAGCTTCTAATGGTATCTTACGTGGTCGTCCCCTACCTCTGCCTCTCCCTCTCGCCATGGCTACAAGCTCGGCGTACGTTTACCTAACGTGCGCCGAGAGCATTAAATTTCAATATTATATTTTTATTTGTTTGTATCTCCAGTTATACGTGGAATTATAAAACTTGAGTTTCCGCCAATAATTATTCATTTGACTTTTTAAAAATAAAATTTAGCAGGATCGCAATATTATCCGCACATCGTGCGGGTACAAATACTAGTGTATATATTAAAGTTCTTAGGAAGGTGTAGTCACCATATCCAAATCTATCATATCCATCCCATAGCCTACATTACAACCAAAATAAAGTCCTACTTGATCCTTGACTGAATGAGCTCAACTAGTAGAGTATTACACAACGGGCAAGCCTATGGTACATTCTCTGTGGTGCATGAATTTTATTTCTGAGAGTGAGTTAATTCTTTCTATCTTGAGTTCCTATTTGTTCTTGAATTTTATTGTGTGTGGATACTCTCTGTGAGCATGTGATTTTTGCCCTATATGAAATACTCCTATAAAATCCCAAGAAATAGATTTTGTTAATTATTTGCTATTTTAGAAATTTTTGTAGCATTTTATTTAATTATTTGCATTTTGTGCATGTTTAAGTTTTATTTAAATCATAAAAAAATACAAAAATACATTGCATTTGCATTTAGGACTTAATTTTATATTTTTTCAATTAATTAGTAAATTAGTGTTTTACAAAATGGAAAATCACAAAAAATAACTCATTTTTGCATTTTTAATTTGAGTTTCGAATTTTGGGAGTTTTTCTTTTGATTTGGTATTTAATTATTTGTGGTAATTGTTATTTAGAGTTAGTTAATTTAATTTGATAGGATAATTTGATTAGGAATTAATTTAGGTTTTATTTTTAATTAAAAAAGAAACTAGAAAAGAAATTGCAAATAAAAGGAAATAAAAGAAAGAAATCAGATTCTGGGCCATTTTAATTTGAATTCCCTAAGCCCAAACTGTTTCCCTCAAATAACCGTTCAAAACCAGCCCATTCTTCGCCCCAACCCGGTCTGACCCAACACACAGATCCAAACGACGCCGTTTCATGCCTTTAAATCAGGACCGTCGATCCCACTTGATCGGACGGTCCAGAACTGAGTCTCACTCTAGTATATAACTGTCCAAACGCCCTGCAACCCCCCCCCCCCCCCCGTCCTCATCTCTCTCAACTCACCTTCTTCAGAGACTCAATCCAAACCCTAGCGCCGCCCCATTTTCCCACCGTCTCAGGCTGGCGGCACCACCTCCAAAACACCCCAAATTAACACCCCAGAATCCCCATGGCTCCCTCTTCCCTAATCTACAACTGGTTTCCCTCGAATCCTCACAGAACTCGTCGAATCTTAAACTAAAGCCTGAAAACCCCAAAATCCCGAATCAGCCAGTTTGATGAAGATTTGAGGTCGAAGTTGACCTTATTCGTGTGTTTTCACTCGAGAACACACGATTAAGGCCTATTTCGGCCAAAAATTGAAGATCCGTTGAAGATTAGTTCAAGATTTTATCCTTCCAGTGTTAGGTATTCTCAATTTCTTACCCTTTTTTTGCATTCTTCTTTTATTCTTTTTTTGTTTAAGTTCATTTTAATCTCTTCTCCGTCTCCTCTTCTCTTCTTGGTCATATGTTCGTTTTTTAATTATTGTTCTACTTGCATGATTAGTTTAATAAAAGTTTAGTTTATGTGTTTTGATTTTCTCATTCAGATTAATTAGTTCATGGCCCGTTTTTTTAGTTTTT